TGCATCAAGAATAATTCTAGCAGCCCGTTTCTGAAGTTTATGAATTCTTTCAATGCTAGTTTTAGATGCATTGCCCCATATTGTAAGACAATAGTTTATTGAAGGCAAAATATATGCATTATAAAAAAGTTTTCTGGTATTTAATGGAAGAAATTTCTTAATTTTACGGAGTGTAAATAACTTGTATGTTAAGGATTTACAAACTGAATCTACATGATAATTATAATGAAGATTTTGATCTATATAGACACCTAAGAGTTTTTCAACATTAACATTTTCAAGCTTTTCTCCAGAAATTTCTGTATTAAGTTCTGGAATATCTAATTTTGACCTTTTTTGTTGTGTACACATAAGCATAGATTTTGATTTGTTCGTGTTCAGAATCATTTGGTTCTGTAAACACCAGTTTTCAATTTCGCATAAATCATAATTCAAAAATGTTTCAATATTATGTACATTGTTATCAGATAAATGCAGAGTTGCATCATCTGCAAACATATCAATATTACAGTGATTGACACATAGGGGGAGGTCATTTATGTACAATAAAAATAGCAGTGGACCTAAAATAGATCCCTGGGGCACCCCTGCTGTGATAGGTAAGATATCAGAAGAACATGCACCAATTTTAACACTTTGGGTTCTTTCATTTAAATAAGACTGAAACCATTTAATTGTAAGTGAATCAAAGTTATAGTGCCTCAATTTCTCAATTAAGAGATCATGACTGACTAAATCAAATGCTTTACTGAAATCTAGAAATGCTATGCCAGTGAGATTCCCTTGATCCATTGCATGCAACCAGCTGTCAGTAAGTTTGGTTAGTGCCGTTTGGCAAGAGTGGAATTCCCTAAAGCCACTCTGTGAGTTTGTAATGAGGTCAAAAGCTCTGGTGAATTCACGTACTTGATTAGCAACATGTTTTTCAAAAATTTTTGATAAAGTCGGTAAGATTGATATTGGTCTGTAATTACTTGGATCATTTTTATCGCCCTTTTTATATATAGGGGTGACTTTAGCTTGTTTCAGATGCAAAGGAAAGATGCCATTAGTAATGCTAGTGTTAATTAGATGAGTTATAGGCTTAGAAATTATATCAGCAGAGAGTCTTAAGAGGCGGGGACCAATGAAATCTATACCTGCCGATTTATTAATGTCAAGTTTGCATAGCATTGAGAAGACCTCGTCTTGTCTTATAGGAAGTAAGCTAAATACATTTTCATCATTAAGTTTTGACTTTGTGAATTCTTTCAACTTTTCTGGTTTAAAGTTACGCTTTGGTAATTCATTTAATAAATTGCTAGAAATTTTTGTAAAGTGTTCATTAAAAACATTGACAATACCTTGTGTATCGTTAATTTCTGATCCGTTGTCCTTAATATGAGTAGGAAAAAAAATATTTTGGCTTTGAGGATAAATGGTTCAGATAGCTCCAGAGTTCTTTAGGATTAGAGCTCTCCTCAGTAGCTGATTTATAATAAGTACATTTAGCATTATTAATCAAAAGCGTAACTTTATTCCTCCAATGTCGAAAATTTTCAAAGTCTTTGTGTTGATGATAGTAATCTCGTAATTGTCTAGCATCATTAATTTCTTGTGTTAACCATTTTGGACGAGACTCAGTTTTCACACGTTTAGTCTTAACTTTAGCGTGACTATTTAGAATAGTATTAAACATATTGTAAAAGTTCGCTAAGATATCGTTAGGATTGTCCAAATTCGTAAGGGCATCAAAATTGGATCCTTGTCACGATGAATTCTATGCAGACTAAGCTGAACTGCACCGTACGCCGCTCATGTGGCTGATAATATGTGAAAAAAATTCTGCCTGACCTTATAATTATTCATATTGGGTATTTTTTTTAACAAATGATACAAATAAACAAAACTTGATGCTGAGAAAGTTTATTTGTAGTATCTGCCGTTTAAAAACTTTGAAGGAAGTATACTTGGTAAGATCTGATCATCACAGATCGCAAATTATATCTTTATACACATATGACGTGGTACAGACGATAGTTGGCCTACAAAATTACTGTGCAGAAAACTTGGTATCAGGTTTTCCATATGATTTAGAGCCAATTAATATTTTTTTATCTCATCATTTGTCTCGAACATTCCTGTATTTGCATTACAATTATGAGAAGTTCTATAAAGTCAAATTCTTGATCATATACCTTGTCTATCATTATCCACTTTATCAGAATATTGTGGGTTTTCTATTCCCTAAATTACAAGTAGTTACTTGTTACTAAGAAACAGTTCTGTCATTTCATGTAATCAGTATGTTGTGTTCAGAATAAGAGACTTCGGTTTAGAAAGACCATTATTAAAGTTTCATATTAACATGTAATAAGGTAATGATCACAGACATCTACAGAGATGGCAAGCGTTTCTAAGCATGACCAGTAGAATATGTTTCATTCTATATAGACATACCAAAATATGATGTTCACTTTTGATAGACATAGCAAAAGGGTATGGGATTCAGAAGCCACGTGTCATTATAAGTTTATAACCGTGCGAAACAGTGCGTTTTGTTGTTAAAGACATGTTGTCGAAGGCGATAATATGCACCTACCCTCACTGCACATACTATCAGCACATATTGTCGTTGGCTGTAAAATTCTACACGTACAAATTGCCTACACTATGTCCCCAGATAGCATGACTCCGTTGGGCCAACGTTGGTTTTTGGTTGTATGGTTGGTGGAGTGTTGGCGTTGGGGAACAGATGTAGGCCCACATCCAACGTTCATTTACGTTGGCATGAAAGCTAAACCAACGGTGTTGGACATGTGATAACGTTGGTCAACGTTCATTTACGTTGGCATGAAATAAACCAACGGTGTTGGGCATGTGATATTCAATATCCAACGTTCATTTATATAAGCTAAACCAACGGTGTTGGGCATGTGATGTTGGCCCAATATTGGCCCATTGTGGTTACATGTTGACAAGAAACACAGCGATTTGGTGTTGGACATTAAGATGTTGGCCCAACATAGGTCCAACCGAGTAAATGTTGACATGGATTAAGACCATTGTGTGTTAAATATGAAATGTTGGCCCAACGTAGGTCTAAGTGAGTACACGTTAGTGGCAAAACATTGCCACTTATTGTTGGTTATTCAATGTTGGCCCAACGTTGGCCCAGCTCAATATATGTTGACAATATAATGATGCATTGCTCTGTGTTGGGCGTGCTTGACTGAACTGGAGTTGGTCCAATAGTAGGAATACTGGGATTACTAGTACATGTACAGGTAGCCTGTAATGTTTGAGATGAAATGCTGGTCCAACGTTGGCCCAATGTTGCAAAAAGTTTTCATCAATTTAGATTTATCTATTGTAAATCGATGGTAATGTAATAAGCAACTCATTATCATGTGATCTAATTATATATTGAATGGAAATTATGAGACAATCCTTATAAGTCTGTGAAATACATATAGCAATTTTATATCTTGGTAATTCTATATTTAGCATCATTGAATCAAATTTAAAGTGCTGTGTTTTGCAAGTTTTGGGCTCCAAAAAAAAAACTGGTGAAATTCACTGGCTCGGCATGTGACTCATAGGTCTCCAAGGAAACCGTCATCTTTAAATCAGTTTTTTTTTTAACCGCGCACTTTAACAGTGTCTGTTTAAGTGAAAGCAAGACTCTCCTGTTTTTATAGAATTTTAATCCTTTCAATGTAAGTATAGCTTTTGTTTTTGTTATTGAAATAATTAATAATGTGAAATACACAACATTGTAATGGCCTGCATGTAGGCTTTCAAATTATTGGTACCAGGTAGCTGATTAAACAATTGTAATTGATGACGACCTTAACTTTTATTTCTTGAACAGAGCAGATATGTCCGGATCTGTAAGTGAACGCAAGAATGTTAACCAGTGAAATGTAAGTAACTATTTTGTATTTGTTATTAATAATTACTAATGTGAAATTCAATTTTAAGGATTGCTTTAAAAATATGTGTGATGCTGATGAACATTTGAAAATACTATTTTAATTGATGATACTCTTAACGTTTGCCGGAATTGCCGGGATGGAAAAACCCTCTTCACTCTGAGACTATTGATGTGGCATTTCTGTATATGGAAGGGACTGATTTATATGTGTGGGAAACATGGATTCTAAGAACAGATAAACAACAGAAAAGTGATAAGTGACGCAAATATGACCTTTCAAAACTCTACAGTTAGAACTTGAAGACTCTTATATCAGTGATATTTAGTAGTGGACATAGTGATGTGGAGTGTACTTGAGAAACATTGAACTTTCTACCTCTTCCTTCTTTTAGTTACATTCCATGGAATACTTTAATGAAAGTGAAAGTGGCAAAGAATATATTGTGATACATTTTAGGAGGAAAAACGTATTTGACCAAACATGGTGAAATTAATTGTGTCGTATAATCTGGGAAATAAAAATTACAGAATTTAATTAATTTTGTAAGACATTTGTATTGAGGAATAATTGTGTCATTGATGTTTCAAGAAACAGCTTTGTATCAACGTTGAACCAACGTAATAACTATATTTTGAACTGAGGTACAATGTAGGGCCAACGTTACAAAATATTTGGTTAGCATCGGTACGTTGGAATAGCGTTGTACCAACGATGGCATTTCAACAAAAGCGTTGTACCAACGTTGGACCTTGAACTGAGGTCCAACGTTGGGCCAACGTTAAAAAAATATTGCGTTGGCGTTGGTATGTTGGAATAACGTTGTACCAACGTTGACAAATGAACAAACAGTATTGTACCAACATTGGCCCAACATATTGGGCCAACGGCGCGCCAATGAGCAGTAAGACATTGGGCCAACGTAAAATATGGAAGAGGATGACAATGGTATCAAAATTCACATCTACACTTTTTATGAAATTGCATGTTCGCTAAAAGACAAACCAATGATTACTGTAGCCACAGCTGTCATTTTATACTCAAATAAAGAAGCTGCCATCAAATTCAATATATCATATATATAATTTACACTGCGAAGAGAGTGAATGGTGCAATAACATGTCTTATATGTCTATTAATCAATTTAACTTAATTGCACTGGATTTCTGCTGATGACAATTTTTATACTAGGTTATTATTACCTCTGCTAAAAATACCCTGCGAGACGATTTCTCCATGGTAATTACGCGCAAACATATGATGCGCGAAAAACCATACTTTGTAAAAGGGAGGGGCTTTTCTTAGAGAATGTCTATTTATACACACCTTCTGTAAAGTCCGTGTATTATATGCTCGAAACATTACACTTGAGCATTTCGGATGTTTTTTCCTTGCTAGTAAGTAAATTCATGAAATACTACAAGGATTGATAACTTTTATCAAACGAAATGATTTAGATAATTTTTTCTTTGCTCATCGCAAAAAAAAATCGTGTTTTTTACACTATATAATGGAACTAATGTACCTTGTATGCCAAACTGAACGAAGGACAAAGGTTAATTGATGAATGAAAACATATTACTTTAGTTTTTGAGGTTAATTGACATTTCTATAAGACAAAGAAAGACCTCTGGGATCTTAAAACAAAGAATAAAAGGACGCAATGATTGAGGAGGCTTTCAACATTTCAGGAAACGTAACAGTTTCAAAAGAAGATCCAAAAGTGGATACTCTCCTGTTTTTATTTGGCTTACCCACTGCTGTTCTCAACTGTATATCCATTCTGGTACTTTTAAAAAGCAAAAAGCTCAAATTTTCTATCCGTCTGCCTGCATTACAGATGGCCATTTCTGATATGTGTTTAGGTGTTATTTCGTGTATTCCAAGCACCATTTTTGATAGTCTCGATATTTGCATCACTAAAAGATATTTCATCGTAGCGTTTTACGTCTTTGGGTGTTTGACCATAACCATTATGAACACAGATAGGTTTATTTCACTTCGATTTCCTTTTCAATATGTCAAGATTTGTACACATGTCAATATAACAGCGGCCTGTCTTCTTTCTTGGATAATAGCCATGCCTTTGCCAATTCTGGAAAATTTCTGTCATATGCAAACTTTGTTGACGGACAGGGACTCATTTCAATGGTCACCTTTTGTAATTTTTGGAATTGTCTCCATAAATCTTGGGGAGTATTGTTACGTCATCAAATGCGTCACGAAGAATACTACAAAGAAATTTCAAGCATCCTTAGGAAACAGAAGATGTATAATAAAGATATCTCTGTTCACGGGATGTTTCGTGCTTTTCACTTTTCCAATGTTTGTCGCCAACATGGTGAACGCCATTAAAGACGAATCAGATGAAGGGTTATTACAGAGGCTACGAATTCTGTTTTCTGTAATGGCGATGATTAATCCTATCCTTAATCCATTCCTGTATTGCTTTCTATTTACTGAATGTCGTTTTCAAGTAATCGGTATATTTTGTTTCTGGAATAAAACATTGTCCGAAAGGAATAAAACAAATCGAAATATTTTTTTCTGCTCCTACATGCAACAGTCGGGTCCTCCCCGTCTAACAACTAATATGTGAAAAGAGTAACTAAAACTAATCTGTAATTGTAAAAGTGGTAACTATGTCGTATATTTTTCTGCCAGAATTTCAAACAACATTAAGGAACGGTATATATTAGAAGACAAACTTTATTTTAAAAAAAAACATTTTAAAAAAAAAAAGGAAAACAGTTCATAGATATTCATTAATGGAAAATTTTGATTATCCACACGAGGCGCCACGAATAGAGGAAACTTGTCAGAGGGCGACGTTGTTGCTTATTGTAAAACCTGTTTCATAACTGAATGTATTGTGTATACAATTCCTAATATTAACGCATTGTTTTGCTACATTGTATGGATAGGGCTTACGACGTCGCTAATTTGCATTTTAAGACATTCATTTTTAGTTCTTACATGATACCTCTGGCCATGCATATTGTTTTCCTGTGAAATCACTGATTTTTGTGGGGGTTTAATTTGTGTTTTTTTTTCGCTGTTTGGAGAGACCGACGAATTCATGTCCGCCAAGATTTTTTTTTAAAATTCAATACTACAGAATGACGTTTCTTCTTCAAGCTCAATATCAAATTCCCTTGAACCAATATTATTTCCTCAATCCTAGAAATAAATGATTTTACAGTGTCCAGAATCTCTTTCATTTTTTGCCAATGAATTATCTCCATGGTAACAAAGGAAGATTCTTCATGGCCATTTTTTTTATTGTAGTCAATGTTTGTCTATTAGAGTTAAAAGTTTACAATATGAAACGTATTTTTTATACTGTAGTCACTGTTTAACTACCTAGGTAGTTATCTACAGCATTATAAGTATTCCATACTGTAGTCACCATTTGACTATTAAAGCTGGTTGTTTACAGCATTATAAGTACACGTATGTATAGCTTAGTCACAATTTGACATCTTTAGTTAGTAATTTACAGTATCGTAAATATTATTAATATGTTCGTCATTGTTTGACTTATGTAGTCACTTATTGCTCTCTTATGTTAATTTTTGTCTACTGTAGTCATGTGTTTGCCTATTGTAGTCACAATTGACTACTGATAAATGTACTTGACAGTGTAATAAGTATTTTTATAATATAGTCTTTGGTTGTCTATTGAAGTCACAATTTGTCTATTTAGTCACTGTCTACTGTAATCACTGTTTATCTGCTAGTCACTTTTGTCTGCTGTAGTTAGTGTCTGTCTACTGTATTCGGTTGTTAACAGTATCTGTAGTATACTGTTGTCATTATCTGCTTTAGTCCCTGTTTATCTACTTTAGTCACAGTTTATCTAATATAGTCACTTTTTGACTACTTTATTCCCTGTTTCTATATTGTAGTTACTTTCTGCCTGCTAGTTACTGTTTGTCTACTGTAGTCACTATCTCTGTAGTTACTATTTTTCTATTGTATACCGTATAAACCGAGGTCCCGAGTCGCAGTAGGTGCTGGAACGAAAAAGATCCCTTACTGCTCAATGGCCCTGAGTTCCGAATATAGGACAACATTTGTAGCTCTCCACCGGCAAGTAGTGGCGTCTTCATATGAGTGAAAAATTCTCGAGAGGGACGTTAAACAACAAACAATCCATCAATCAAACAACATTCCTTTTCATTAAGTACGACTGTGTTATATTAAAATTATTACAGCTTACTACAAATCAGTGTCACTTATTTTGATATGTGGTTGAGATTAAAAAAAGAAAAGGTGTAACAAAATCTTATTTTTTCATTTGTCATCTCGGTGGTTCATTGATTTTTTTTTCTCACTATATTTTCTATTTATAACATAAAAGTCTTCATTTATGTATTATTTATTTTTGGATGTTTTTATTTCCTTCCGATAAATATCATTTGTCTAATTTTATATACATGCATGACAGACTTCATTTTAAAAAACGGTTTATAAAGAAATAAAAGGTAAAGGATCACCACACATAACGAATGATGATGAATGATCATATGTTATTTTCAATATTCTAGGCTATTGAGACAATAATTTTGAGTGCCTGATAATTATTTTGAAAGAGATGGGTGCACAAAGCGTTCAAAATGTCTATAGATTCAAACGAATAGTGTTGTCAACAAGTACCCGAGTAACTGGTTAACCGACGAGCGACTCGAGTATCGGTTAGTAAAACTGACACTCGGTTACTCGTGTATACATATAAAATCTATATTTTAACATGTTTAAATCAGCAGGAAAAATGTAATTTTGTTTATTAATTTCTCTATTTTTTTCACCGTTTTTTCCGATAGACTCGACCTAGCGTTTTGCAAAAACGACCGATTTCTTTTGATAAGTATTTCACAAATTATCAAATTGGAAGCTTTGATTGGGATATACACAAGTTAAGAAGGCTTGAGTTCATTAAAATTACCTCTCATATAAATCTGTACTCAAATATGACAAGCACAAGATTAAAGAGGACGCCGCCATAGGCATCAAAATATTTTTAAAGAATGACTGAATTAAAATCCGTAAGGTGTAAAATATTTAAAATAGAATTAACATACACGGGTGGGACACAAAATATGCTAAATAATCTTAGATTGAAATTTAACTCTGAATCAAGTGATATATCATAAAGGACATCCTGCAAAACGGCGGACTATTGCGGTATACTTAGAAAATATTTAATATTTTGTGTTTGTTATTAGGAAAAAAAATCATCAGCAGTGTATTTGCGTTTTATATATACCGGTATGCAAATATTGGGATAAATATAAAAATAGTAACGACGTTACATATACAAAATGTATTCTGTTACTATCATTTAGATACTGCAAAAGGAGGTGTTTTCAGGACTAAACCAAAACCATCCGAGTACCGGTTACTCGATCGGAAAAGTAAGCGAGTACCCGGTTACTAAAAAACGTCCGATTTGACAACACTAATAAAAATCAAATTCAATTTGTGAACTCAGTATTTAGACTAAAGTTCTAATTATTGATAGGTATAAAATTTTGACAATCTAAAATTATTCTGAACGAAATTATTATGTGGGAAAAAAGGATTTCTTGAGATTTGAACCCACGCGATAAGAATTCAGGAGCCCCGTTTTACGAAAGAACTTACGACTAGGACCAACATTTACATCTGCTTATCAATTTCTAATTTAAAAAAAAATTTGATCATGGTTTTTATTTTTTAAAAGAAATGTACAAAGATATATTTACGCTGGCAATTTTTAACAGAATAATTTTTTTTTTGGAAAATTTTCCAATGAACAAAAGATTTTGATCTTAGTCGTAAGTTCTTTTGAAAAACAGGCCTCAGAGTATCAGTTCCATGGTGACTGACACGCTTACTACTATACCACACAACTCATAACAGATAGTAGCATTTGAATCTTGTTTCTGATATGACCATTGAATAACTGGATTTCTCGGAAAGATACGATTCTTTGTGTCATAAAAGGGTTTTTTTTTTATGTAAAGTGGGTTTTTGCTCCATATTGTTGTTAAGCAAGAATATATTCTGATACAAACTTTGAAGATTTACCTAAAAAAATAGAGCAAAGACATTTAAACAGTGTTTACATAAAAATTGTGTTGCAGTATGAAGAAATCCTCACTTTTGTCCTCTTTAATTCGTGCATGTTGCTTTATAAATGAATACGTTTTTAAATCTCGTGCGAGATTTTCGTAAATCTAGATTCTACATAAAGTATGCATTAATGTTAACTGAAATATCAAAGAAATATGCGTTATAATTTAGATTTAATTTTTCCTTTTCTTATTTGTCAAACTGTATGGATATTTCGGAGCTTGTTCATCATCTCTTTGATTCATCTATCATTATCCTAAGGTAAAAGAAATTTCTGCCTATAACCCGTACGAAAAAATCCAGCCGGAGAATAGGCGGAGAGTAAAGACGGAATCCGTCTGAATTAAGCTTTTTAAAGCATTGTGATGCTTAGGTGGAATACAAGCGAAATTCAAGTGGATTTTTAGATGGAATTCAGGCGGGAAAATAAGCAAAAATGCAAAATAGTCCGCTTGTGAATTCCGCCTTTAAAAACTCTTAAAATTCCTGCTAAAGCATGAGTGGAATATTGGACGGAATTCAGGCGGAATGTTTAGTCAGAATCTGTCTAAAGATTCCGCTTAAAGATCCCCCCTAAAAATCTGTAGAAAAATAATAATGACGTGAAATATAACATCAGAACATTATTTATTAACTTATTTATAGTGATATTTGACTTCAAAAGTCTAACCCTTACTGTCTATTATAGTTTTTAAAATCAAAGTATAAAGAGATCTTTTACTTAAGTGAATGTAGCAGATTTATTGAAGCTCTAGTTCGGTACATTTTTGATACTTTATGCGATATCTCTCTCTGAATAAACTCCCTCTTTGCGAATCGCCCATTTTTTTCACTCTGCCTTTAATTTTTTCCTACCATATATGACACCTGCTTTATATTCTGTCTCAATCGCATCGTCAAACTCTTCGCCATGTGGAAAAATGAATTCAACCATTGTGATTACACCAAATGTATACATATCCTTGTAAAAAAAAATTTATAACACTAAATTCAATTCATAATTAGAATTAAAATTTTGTAATTATTTGCTTTATTTTTAAAAAATAATTACATGCAATACTACAGGATTTCACAAAGTTATATAATATAACATCAGAACATTATTTATTAACTTATTTATAGTGATATTTGACTTCAAAAGTTTAACCCTTACTGTCTATTATGGTTTTTAAATCAACTTAAAGAGATCTTTTACTTGTATTAGCATTAGAGCTCTAGTTCACATGAACTTTGTGCGTCTTCTGAAACTCCCTCTTTATCCCCATTTTTTCACTCTGCCTTTAATCTTTTTCCTAGCATACGACACCTGCTCTGTCAACGCATCATTCACACTCTTCTCAGAAAATGACCAACCATTCTGATTACACCAGATGGCTACATATTCTGTAAAAAAAAATTTATAACACTAAATTCAATTCATTATTAGAATTGAAATTTTGTAATTTTTAGATATTTTTAGGCACATGCAGTACTACTACTTGCGAAATTCCTTGATTTCATCATTGTAATTCTGTAAACATCATTGAAGACAAAATGATTAATTAAAGAGTTTACAGAAATAATGTTATTGATGTCTGCCTTTAATCTTTTTCCTAGCATACGACACCTGCTCTGTC